AACATACCGAAGCATTGAATGACTCCAACTTTACATCGTGTGGTTCACAAACTACATCAAATGGTCCGGAAACGCGCGATCCACTGGCAACCGTGCGCAGAAATTCAGGCATTGAACTTGGTCATTCTGAAGGCAAAGTCGAAAACACGTCGATCAGTTCGAAAACCTCAAATGAGTATAACCCACTAGAAGCTGATGTTTCAGTGTCGAAATCTGTAAAAGTTGTTGAACCGCAAGTAAATGAGGCTGAAAATATCCTGGGAAAATCTGAGCCCCAGTTGGTCCAGCAAGGTGTCCAAAGTGATGTTTGCAACTCCCCAATAGGGAATGGTGGCGAAACTAAGAATGGAGAGAGCGAAATGGTAAATATACGCTAAACTTTATTAATTTTGAAATATATTATTTAGCTATATACCGTCAACCAATCTTGTTGTGATAAAATTTAACGCTTTTATTAAAGTTTAATAAAGTTGCATCTTTAGATTATCACTAATAGAACGAATTAAGTGGTACAATTAATGCCAAAATCATACTCGTAGTTAACAAATGTTGCTCGTGCTGGGCGATGTTGCTCGTACAATTAGGGATTAATTGTATTTGTGATGTTTGAAATTTTGACAAAATTTTCACAAAATTTTCTATAAAAACGTCACTCGTATTCCAATAATATTTCAGATGTGCTAGAGCACCCCGCTGAATAGCTGGCAAAAATTTAACACTTCCCGATCTCTGATTCACATATACTTCATGCCACATATTCACAAAAACCTATTTATCCGTAATAATCTTTGAAATTCAACATTTTGTAAATCGTTTTGCCAAAATCGAGCAAAATGCGCAAATATAAATTTCCCTCACTCATTATACCTTTGTATGGGAAATCGCTTTGGCCGCGAGTTTGCCCCAATGTTTTCATACATCGTTTTTCTCGGTTTAGATATCCCGGGAAAACACTCGCTCTCGCTGTTCATATGATTATTACATCCAAAATTTAACTCCAAGTCATATTTAAAGTGTAACATCTCGTTGCCTCAAAATACTCTTTTGTCTTAAGATATTTAAAAAAAACGTCTCTATTTCATCACAGGTAAACCTGGACCAACCGAGTGAGATGCAGAGTGAGTTGAGTTCCACAGAACATACCGAAGCATTGAATGACTCCAACTTTACATCGTGTGGTTCACAAACTACATCAAATGACCCGGAAACACGCGATCCACTTGCAACCGTGCGCAGAAATGTAAGCATTGAACTTGGTCATTCTGAAGGCATAGTCGAGAACACGTCGATCAGTACGAAAACTTCAAATCAGTATAACCCACTAGAAGCTGATGTTTCAGTTTCTAAATCTGAAAAAGTTGTTGAACCTCAAGCAAACGAGGCTGATAATATCCTGGGAAAATCTGAGCCCCAGTTGGTTCAGCGAGATGTCCAAAGTGATGTTTGCAACTCCCCAATAGGGAATGATGCCCAAACTAAGAATGGAGAGAGCGAAATGGTAAATATACGCTAAACTTTAATCATTTTAAAATATACTATTTAGCTGTAATACCACCAACCAATCTTGTTGTGATAAAATTTAACGCTTTTATTAAAGTTTAATACAGTTGCATCTTTAGATTATCAGTAATAGAACGAATTAAGTCGTACAATTAATGCCAAAATCTTACTCGTGGTTAACAAATGTTGCTCGTGCTGAGCGATGTTGAGGGATTAATTGTATTTGTGATGTTTGAAATTTTGACAAAATTTTATTAAAACCGAAACGATTAATTAAAACAAAACAAAACGATTAATTAAAACAAACCGTTCTTCGCAGTTCTGTTTTCATACATTGTTTTCTCGTGCAGTCGGGTTTGAATATCCCGGTGAGACACTCGCTCTCGCTGTTCATATATTACATCCAAAATTTAACTTGAAGTCCTATTTAGAGTGTCACATCTCGTTGCCTCAAATCACTCTTTCTCTTAGGTATTTAAAAAAACTTCTCTATTTCATCACAGGTAAGCTTGGACCAACCGAGTGAGATGCAAAGTGAGTTGAGTTCCACTGAACATACCGAAGCATTGAATGACTCCAATGTAAAGACATCGTGTGGTTCACAAACTATATCAAATGACCCGGAAACGCGCGATCCAATGGCAACCGTGCCCAGAGATTCAAGCATTGAACTTGGTCATTTTGAAGGCATAGTCGAGAACACGTCGATCAGTACGAAAACCTCAAATCAGTGTAACCCACTAGAAGCTAATGTTTCAGTGTCTGAATCAGAAAAAGTTGTTGAACCTCAAGAAAATGAGCCTGAAAATATCCTGAGAAAATCTGAACCCCAGTTCGTGCAGCAAGATGTCCAAAGTGATGTTTGCAACCCCCAAATAGGGAATGATGCCCGAACTGAGAATGGAGAGAGCAAAATGGTAAATATACGCTAAACTTTAATAATTTTAAATTATACAATTTAGCTATATACCACCAATCAATCTTATTTTGATAAAATTTAACGATTTTATTGAAATTAAATAAAGTTGTATCTTTAGATTACAGAAGATATATAATTAATTAATGAGTAATAGAACGAATTAAGTCTTGCAATTAATGCCAAAATCATACTCGTGGTTAAAAAATGTTGCTCGTGTTGAGCGATGTTGAAATTTTCACAAAATTTTCTATAAAAACTTCACTCGTATTGCTATAATATTTCAGATATGCTAGAGCACCTCGTTCAATAGCTGGCCTTCCGCGTATACGCGTTTTGTATAAATAAGAACTCTATATTAACAATGTTAAGCTAGTGGGTTTTCTGGCAGTGCAAAGTAGTGGAGTGTTAAGCGGTTTTGGTCTCTAGTGCGGTATGTGAATGTCTGGGTGCGAATACGCGCCGTTTACTTTCTGTTTTTTTTTTACCTTCTTTTCTCTTTTGATGTTTGCAAACCCCGAAAATGAACCTCTGAAAATATCTTTAGGTTAGTTTTTGGGTTATTTGATATCTGATTCATTTTTTGAGTTTCTTTTTTTCTCAAAAGTGCAAGCGTTTAGCGGAGGCCTGGAGATGAAGTGATCTACCATATCTAAATTAGCTTCATCGTTAATTCCAAATTTTACTCGCTATCGCATAATTATCTAAAATTAAATCAAATCAGCATACAAAATAACTAAATAAAAACACCAAAATAAAACTTTGCTTTAATTGTAACCACTCCTATGCAAAAAACATCAATAATAATCATGCATTGCGTATCACAATCAATTCTTACCTATCTTTCACGTATTTAGAAATTGTAAAGAACTCACCTTCCGGAGACCTTTTGTCTCGATTCATTCGAGAAGCCACTGGAACAACTTCTGTTCGTGTCTCTCTGGGATATCCAAACTCTTGAAAACGAATAATTAAAACATTCTGTTTTCATACATTGTTTTCTCAGTTGGGTTTGAATATCCCGGTGAGACACTCGCTCTCGCTGTTCATATATTACATCCAAAATATAACTTGAAGTCCTATTTGAAGTGTCGCATCTGGTTGCCTCAAATCACTCTTTTTTCTTAAGATATTTAAAAAAAAGTGTCTATTTCATCACAGGTAAACCTGGACCAACCGAGTGAGATGCAGAGTGAGCTGAGTTCCACAGAACATACCAAAGCATTGAATGACTCCAACTTTACATCGTGTGGTTCACAAACAAGATCAAATGATTCGGAAACACGCGATCCACTGGCAACCGTGCGCAGAAATTTAGGCATTGAACTTGGTCATTCTGAAGGCATAGTCGAGAACACGTCGATCAGTACGAAAACCTCAAATCATTATAACCCACTACAAGCTGATGTTTCAGTTTCTAAATCTGAAAAAGTTGTTGAACCTCAAGCAAATGAGGCTGATAATAGCCTGGGAAAATCTGAGCCCCAGTTGGTGCAGCAAGGTGTCCAAAGTGATGTTTGCAAGTCCCCAATAAATAAAGACAACAAAATGGTAGCAGTTGATTTCCAATTTCCTGATGACAGTTCTCCGGTTGCGCATTCTAAACCGGATGATTTAACTAGGGACACTGTCGAACATCAGTCTCAGCCCGGCCTTGAAGACTCTCTAAAGGCATTAACTAATTGGAAAATTGGCGTTGCAAAAACAAATCGTAAAAACGATCTTCCTTCAAACGAAATTTGCAGCGCGGAAAAATTAGACAAAGCGGCTCCAAATGGGGATTGTCTCAAGGTATCACAAAAGGTCGACAATCTTAATGCAGAACAAGGAAAACAACATAATTTAGATGACGTCTTCAGCTCTGATGAAGCAAAACAACAGACGTTAAACGATAGTTTAACAGAAGTATTTGCTTCTTGGGGAGAAAAATCGACTAAAAAATCAGAGGGCTTAGGAATACGTATTGCCGAGGAAGAAAAATTGCACACGTTGAACGATAATACTACTCAGGTATTGGGCGAACAGACCGTTACTTTGAACAAAGAGGTTTCTCGGGAACAAAAAGCAAATGAATCATTAACTTGGCATGACTTAAAAGGCCTTACTAGTAATGAAAAAAGGAAACTAGAGACGTTGAAGGAACTCAACCGCGCACAGGTTTGTGAACCAGAAAACGGGGTATCTGTCGGTATAGACAATAATCCAGTATCATTAAACAAGAACGGAGAACAATGTAAGTTAAATATGGTTTCTGGCACAAGAGATTTCTCTTCTCGTAGCGAAGATAATGTCACAAACGAAGAGGAATTGGCGCGTACCAGTCCCGGAAGCCAATATGCAATTAATTCTCAGAGTTCTGGATTCACAGGAAGGGGCTAAAACGTCCATTCGTGTTCTGGAGGAAGATGACATTGGACTTGCCACGTTAGACAGGTTTGTAATGTGAACGACTCCGAGGGATGCGATTCCAACGATATTGATGTGTATCTCAGAATTTTGAACAAAACGGGAAGACCTTTAGGTATCGAGGTGGATAGTGCAGAACAGCTTGTCGGAAACTTGACATCAAGTGGATCCACGCAAGTGCATTGTCTCACTTCACAGGCACTCCAAGAAACTGTAGCTGAATTAGTACAACGACAACCTATCAGCAACCCTGCACCTAATTCTAGAAAAAAGAGGAGAAAACTAACTGGGATTTATAGAGAAATTCTCTCAAGAAAGCCCACTCGCACAAGAGATAATTACCCAAAATAATGCTGATGCCGGTGTAAACTATTACGATATCGGGAATTCTTGCCAAAGGCATTATACTGAGATGACGAAGACCATTCTGAACGAACGTCACAGGTTTAAATTGCGTTTTTTTATTTTCCCAGTTGTGTTAATTTTTTTGGTTTATTTTTTGTTTTTGCTGGCAACATGCGATATATAGTAAAGTGAAAAGCTATCTTCATGGCCAACACCACCTGGTTATATACAACAGATGTCAAATCTTACTTTCTCCATTTTATAATTAGAGGTTTACTTTAGTGCCCTGTTATGATAGCTTAAAACTAGTTCATGTCCGGAATCATCATCATGTGGTAATGTAGCGATAACATCATATACCATGATATAGTATGACGTTGCATCACATATCACCAATCATATGACTTCGCATCATATTACATCACACAAGCCCCGTCTACGGCTAAAATGGGTACTCGTGCCCAATTATAATATGATAATATCGCAGGTAACGTAATTTGAGTACTTTGAATATAATGTTTCCAGTAATTCGACGGTTACGCGTACTGTCCACACGTATCCGGCGTTTTCTCCCACTCAAAAAGGGGGGGGGGGGGGAATCTGAAAACGCTCTCCAGAGTGGAAGAATTTGAAAACGACGGCTGAGCGGATACGAGTGGACGGCTTTGCCGGATAAATTTGAAAACGTCACTAATCAAATTGTTTCCATATTAATAAGGCTTGTTTCACGTCTTGTGGCTTACGCTTAACTTTATATTGCTACATTACCGTCAAATGAGTCCTATTTAAAACATAGTCTGAAATATTAACCATTTGCGGTGACCTGATGAAAAACTGAAGTTGGTTGGTAGGAGACCATATAAAGACAGCTACTGACGTTTATTTTAGTTATTTGTCCTTCATCAGCTGTATTCGGTGTTTTTTGATAAGAATAAAGCATTGTTATTACGAACTTCTGTATTCGAAATATTACCATTGTTAATCTTGTACACGAGTTTGGCTTCGGATTCTAGTCCATGTTCCTTATAAGGGTTTTCCACCCCAGCTCAGCCTAAGCAGCTTCTGAAGGACCGTGCTCGTTGGGATAACCCAAAACTATTCTCGCAGCCCTGTTTTGAAGCCTTCGCTATTAGATTCATTATACCCATTCTGAAATCAATGGCGTTTCCTGCTAGATATTTATTTGCGAATTCTATCAATAACTATAGTTAAACTAGAAACACGTGTATGCAGCAACCCCTTGCCTAGGTTAAACGAAATCATTTAAGCATATGGATGGTAGCATAATATAGTTGAAAAATTTATGTGGTTTGGAGGATGGTCGGGGGGTACGTGTGGTAACGTGCGGTTTGTGAAAAAAGAAGTATGGAAATATTTTTCTGCAAGTGAATGTACTGTAAGTCATAGCAAGTCGTAACGGCTAAGAGCCGTATATTTTCAAAGAATCAAAGTTTACCCTCCTATTTTTTGGAAAAAATGGCAATAATTCTTACGTTTTTCTGGAAGCTAAGTTAGTCGTCTCGAAACGAAAACTATTGAAATCACTCATTGTTAAAATTTAAATGCCGTGTTCACGAATTTCAGCCCGTGGGGATTTAATGCAACTTATAAAATGCTAAATGCTTTGTGTTGCTAGAGAAAGGGGACATGTTGAAGATCATGGTCCTTGAGATGCACATTTAAATAATGTTATCCATATTTGTAAATTGTAAATATTGTTGATAAATATCAATCTTGCGAACAAGCAAATTATACTGCATCATATGCATGCATAAAAATCAGTATGGCAAACATTTATACATCTCTGGGTCCCAACCAGTGAACTCTAAAAAGACTGGAACGATAACTTGGCCGCCATCTTTGAAGCCAGCACTGATGGCCGCCATGAAGGCCAAGAGTTGAAATTACACCACCAAAACAACGCCGGTTTTTATACACAAATCCTTCTCATCTGATCATGAATAAAAGCTTAAAACAAGCATTGACACTTAGATTTTACTAAAAAACAAGTTTTATGAACGTGAAAAGGTGCAAACCTATTTTTTTTGCGAGTTGAAGGCGAAGTTTTTTTTCGGCCCGTTCAAATTCTTTAAATATTTCAAGTACAAAGCTGGTACCTCGCCGGTTTTTACAGTAAGATGATGCGGATTACTTAGGTCTATCCAAAAAGGGTAAATTCGTTGTTTAAAGTTGAAGTGGTCAAATAAAAATTGCACTTTTCTCGCAATTTTTTGCCAAAAAATACGATTTTTACGGAATTTTCACTCTCCCCAGTTCTTTTGAAGGCTTGATTTGCTCGCTCGGCTGCCGCCTTAATCAGCAAATTATATTCAAATCGGCTTCATCCAATGACTAGTCTTTATTGTTGAGTTATCGTTCTAGTCTTATTAGAGTTCACTGGTCCCAACAGAGTGCTTAGGTATTCAAACTCTAACAATTACATTCTTATGGGTGATTTCAATAGTTTTCGTTTTTTGGGACACCCATATATATGGGACATACATATATATATATATATATATAAATATATATATATATATATATATATATATATAATATATATATTATATATATATCGCGATCCGTCCTCGTTATGGGTGAGATTAAAATATGATTAATGCAAATTCGCTGTTCTAACATATGTCTCAAGGGATGACTGAATTTGTGATCATGTTTTGATCTATCTGTTTAAACAAAACTTGTTGGTGCACAAAGATGCAACTGCTAAAACTAGTAATATGCATATTTTTTAACAGATAACCACCCAACACATCATGTACAAGAAGTTGTAGAACGAGTGTACGACAGTCCTGATTTCAATCCTATTGAAGAGGTTTACATATAGCTTGCTATCTCATTCAACTGTATTTGCGGCGTTCGCAGTAAACAGTCCATGTTAATATATTCTTCGTGTGGGAATAAAGATTTGCTCGCTGTTGGGCGACCCATACGGCAAGGCTTTACATCACCCGTGTTCCAAAAGGTGCTGAGAGTACGATAGACGGTTTTTAAACAAACAAATAGCTGTGCTGTAATTTCGTCGATGATTCTTTCGTAAAACAGTCGTTGGTAAACCATTCTCCACCTTAAATCATCCGAATATGGTCTTGGCATTTTCTAATCGTTCACCTTGCTATACTCGAACTCGCAATTAACACGCTTGTACAATCCCACGCGTGTTGATGCATAATAATGTCACGTGATCGATATATACATATACTTGCTCAGGACAACCTTTTTGATAACGACAGTATATATATATATATATATATATATACATATATATATATATATATATATATATTATATATATATATATATATATATATATATATTATATATATATATTGTAGCTACCGTTTCTTCCGGTAAGTGGTGTTTTCCGGTATGCGAGTGTTATGTGACGGAACACGCGGGTTTCAGAGGAGAGTTTTTAGGCGAATGGACGCCATATTGACAAATTTATATATGCATGTAGAACCAAACGGTTCTAAACGTACTCAAAGGGTTTTTAAATGTACTCTGAAGGAGAGTAAACGTAGTTAAATAAAGTGAACTGAGGTAGTAGAGGAGAGGTAAAGAAAAAGTTATTGTAAACGCGAAAGTAAGGTAAACAAAGTTGAGTTAAATGGAGTTGTGTGTATTAGTCCGGGTCGGCGTCCAAAGAAAGTTACAGTTTAGAACCGTTTGAGAATTCTACGCGTGATCAGAGTGAAAGTCGTCAGAAAAAAGATAGTATTACCGTTTGAAAATTGTGTTGTTTCAAGGGAATATGGTATGGATTATGTCGTTACTTTAGTTGGAAACAAGGTGGAATCGTGGGATTATAAGTATTAAAGTCGTGGGTGTCACGTGGAATTTAATACGTTTGAAAAGGTTTGGTCTTCAGGAAGAAGACGCTATTGTTATTTCACATTGCATTGTTGAACGAGAGTGTATTACTTCATAGTTGTTTACGATAGAGGATCGATATTACGGAATTATTCGGTCATTGGTGTGTTGGGTATAAACATATGGTACTTAAAGGGACATATTTCAGGAAGAAAACAATATTGTATTGTACAGTACGTTGGCTATAGCCTTAAATTGTCAGCTTGAACACGTCGAACTGGTTTCGGTAGTTAAACTCGCGATTACGAGTTAGTATTGTTTGGATATTATTATTGTGGAACATGAAGTAATGAGGATGGGGTTTCATCTAGAGTGATATATTATGAACATTGTGTACATTAAACTTTAAGTAGACTGAAAAAAGGATTTGCAATTATTGAAGTGCAATTAAATTTAGCTATTATGAGTCGTGAAGAATATATGCTGGAGAACATAAATAATCTATTCAAGTCCAGGTTGGAGTATATTAACAGTTTATCAAGATTACACGAGGACATTCAAGGACTTATGGATGCAGGACTAGGAAATACTGACGAGATTGTGTCGAAGAAAAATGGGTATGATAAACTATGGAGTGAATTTGTTAGTGTTCATGAGCAGTACTTGGAGGTTGTTACAGCTGAAGATGAAAGAAGAAGAGCTAATTTAACATACAAAGATCAGATGGACGAAAAGGTACATTTGGACCAACTATTTGCATGTTGGGGAAGAAAGTCAAAGTTGCAGAGTACTGGTAAAGGTCAAAGCCAAATTAGTGTTTCAACAAGTGGTGCAAGTTCAACATCAGCCTTGTCGAAGAAGAGAGAGAAGGTAGCCCTTGCACAGTTAAAAGTTAGCCAGTTAATGCAACGACATGAAATGAAAAGGAGAATGGCAGAGCTAAAGTATGAAGAAGAGCTAATGGAGGAACAGGCAAAGGTTAGTTTCAATATTCAAAATGAACTAGCTGATGAGTATATACGGGGACAATATGAATTAGACCCTCTGCCTGAGAATGTTGTTTATGGATTGGATAGTGAAATTTATACTGGTCGTCCTTCAATCCAAAACCAGTCGAGAACAATGCAGAATTTTGGGAAACATGAAGCGTATAGACCGGTAGTGTGTGTAGCAAGTAGAATGGACTGGGACTATGCAAAACTCACAATGGCGAATCGTCCAGTTGTGAACTACCCCACTTTAGTTCTAGCAGCGAAGCAGCATACAAGTCAGCCTAGTGCTTTCAGCCCTCAAACAAGTAAATTGTGGAACTATCCTGGAGATGATAGATTGCAGTTAAACACCAAATTACCCTCAGCATTTCAAATGCCATCTGTAGAGAACTGTAGAAACTTTGATACACCTCTATGGCACCCAACTGTAAAATTACCTACAGAATCAGCAACTAAATTACCATGGCAATCACCTGAGAGGAGGGTGGAGTTGCCAATGCCTGTAAGGAGTGACAGTGGCGAAGAGATGGTTAGAGCATTACGACAAGTAGTGTCAACCCCAAGGATTAAATACATGAGTTTTGATGGAGAGCCTATGAATTATGTCTCCTTCATTCATAACTTTGAAACTTGTCTGGAGAAGGATAACCCTGACAATGCCACAATACTTCAACTATTGATACTGCAATGGGAAAGCTCTTGAAGCAATAGAGTCTTGTGTGAACCTGCCAGTGGAACAAGGTTATGTTACGGCAAAGAATACCTTAAAGGAAAACTTTGGGAAGCCCCATATAATTGCGAAAGCACATATCAGGAAACTGGAGAACCTGCCGGTCCTGAAACAAGCAGATGGACCGAGTTTGTTGGAATATGCAAGAAAGTTAGAAATTGCTAACAGAACCCTGACCAGTATGGGGCCAGAATATGAAAGTGAATTAAGTCACGTAAACACTTTACGCGAGTTAAATAGGAAGCTCCCCATGTTTATGAAGGTTAAATGGACAGAGCGTGCAGGAACAATTATTGAATCTGGTTCAAGACCAAATTTTCAAAACTTCTTGGCGTTTGTGCGAGGAAGAGCAAAACTTGTAAACAATGAGTTTGCGGAAGATCTTTCAAGTAGTACGTCAAAGATAAGAGGGAAGGGACAAGGGGTAGGTGGACGCTTTGTACATAGGGCAGCTGCTTTAACTGCAGGTGCACAGCAAACCCAAGAAAGAAATCGTGTGTCAAATTCGCCTTATTCTAAATGTTTGTTCTGTTCTGGAGCACATAGGATTTGGAAGTGTTCAGCATATAATAAGATATCGTATCAAGACAAGAAGAAATTTGTTCAGGAAAATCACCTATGTATGAAATGCCTTAGTAATGGCCATTTTATGCGGACATGCCCCAAAGTACATTTTCGATGTCAGAAAGAAGGCTGCAATGAAGGGCATCATACCTTGTTGCATCCTCCAGAAGCAATTACACCTCAAGGAAATCGTGATGGCAAACATTTGCCTGATGAACACAGTAAAGAAACAGGCTCCGATAATGAGAAGAATAAACAGGCAGAGTCCAGAGTAACTGTGGCAACTGGGGCCGGCGAGAGAGTTTGCCTCAGCGTTGTACCAGTGAAAGTGCAAATAAAGGGACGAGAGCAACCTTTAGTTGTAACATATGCTCTATTAGATTGTGGCTCAGAAGTTACACTCATTCATCAGAAATTGCAGAAAGAACTAGGAGCCCATGGTCAAAGGATTGATTTCTTCCTTTCAGGGATAAATGGGTCTAAACGAATTGACAGTGAACTTTTGGATATCGTAGTCACATCCATGGACGGGGTGACATCACTGGAGTTATCAAATGTACGGTCAGTTGAGCAAATGCCTATTGCTGGAAGTTGTATTGCCCGCAGAGAGGATATTCAGAGATGGCATCATTTGGATGGTGTTCCAATAACAGAATTAGATGCGAATGAGGTAACATTGGTTATTGATTGGTCTGCAGGAGAAACCCAGCATATTCGTACCACTCGAATATCGCATTGGTGAAGAGAATGATCAAGTGGCGATCAGGTATAGCCTGGGATGGACAGTTGTTGGCCCTCTCGGGGAAAGGAGAAAGAACAACTGCTATAATACGAAATTTGCTCGGACAGCAACACAAAAAGCCCTGTGACAAATGTGAAGCCCCGAGTCAGACAGTGTCTGTTGAATGAACCAGAACAACCTATGGAAGAGGATTATCAGCTTGAGAACAGTTCGGATGAAGGTATTTCAATGCTACATTCAAATGGGTCGGCCTCTGGGTTAAAGTCGTGTTTAGTTGAAGAAAAGTCCATGCCGCAAGATCTGAATCATCAGTTGGAGAGACTGTGGAAAACTGATTTTGAAGATTGTATTTTGGATACCAATGTCTGTCAATCCATTGAAGATAGAAGAGCTCTGACGGTGATGGAGAAATCGCTAAAAAAGGTGGATGGTCATTATCATGCAGGTCGCCCTTCCATGGCGACATAAACCACCCTACTTACCTAACAACAAGGAAATGGCACTGCGGAGAGGAATGGTGTTAAAGAAACGTTTACTAAAGGATGAAAGTCTTCTGAGAAAATATGCTTCAACGATAAACGATTATCTGGAAAAAGGATATGCTGAGAAGATACCGCAAGAACAGCTGCAATCAAGCAAAAACCCCATTTGGTATCTCCTGCATCACCCGGTAACCCATCCTGCAAAACCTGAGAAGATAAGAGTAGTCTATGATTGTGCCGCCACCTACAAGAACACCTCTTTAAACCAGCAGTTATTACAAGGTCCTGACCAAACAAATCAGCTTGTCGGAGTGTTAATTCGGTTCAGACAGGAACAAGTGGGACTAGTCTCAGACATAGAAGCTATGTTTCACCAGGTGCTGGTTGAACCACAGGACTGTGATGCTCTTCGGTTCTTATGGTGGCCGAACGCAGATCTCTCGGGAGAAATGAAAGAATACAGAATGGTCAGACACTTGTTTGGTGCGACATCCTCGCCAAGCGTGGCGAATTTCTGCCTAAGGAAAACAGCTGATGATCACGAAAGCGAGTTTGATCAAAGTGTAGTGGATACAGTACACAGCAAAAAATCATTTTCTTATCGAGAAAATATATCTTATCTTAAGAATTTTTTTCTTATATAAAGAAAATTTTTCTTAAACCGAGAATTTTTTTTCTAACTCTAGGATATAAAATCTCCTTTAGAAAGTAATTTCTTAAAATAAGAAAGTCGTCAAGCCACAGATTTACAGAGTTTAAAACAAGAAATTATATTCTTATGAATTAGAATTTTTTTCTTATACTGAGAAAATAATTTCTTGATATAAGAAAGATTATCTTAACTTCTGAAATTCTCAATATGAGAAAATTAATCTTGAGTAACATCCCAAATATTTCTTAAAATAGGAAAGCTTGCCTTATCTGAATCTGGTTTCAAGAAAATAATTTCTTGGAATAAGAAAGATTATCTTAACTTCTGAAATTCTCAATTTGAGAAAATTAATATTGAGTAATATCCCAAATATTTCTCAAAATAGGAAAGCTTGCCTTATATCTGAGTCTCGTTTCAAGAAAATAATTTCTTGGAATAAGAAAATAATAAGAAAACAAGAACTTAATGGGGTATAAAAAAATTGATACAATAGAATTATTGTTATTTACAATGAACAAATGTCCGCCTCCCTTTATAAATTATATTAAGCTAAGTCTTATGTACAAACAATTTTTCCAAAAAGAAGCTCTTTAGAAACAAATTTCATCATGAGAGAAATGTGTCACATTTAGCCTTTCAATCGGTGTGCTTGGTTATTGAACTAAAAACACCACCTTAATTCGCTACCCATGTACAATAATATTTGATATACTAAAAGTAAGATTTACAATGCAAAAGTCAAAGATTGATATTTTAAATTTTAATTATCATGGAAAGGAGCATGGATTGCAACATAACGTCGTGTGCGCGACATATCGCGCGTGATCACGCGGTCAACGAGAGAGCGCTAAAGGCATTGTGGGAAGAAGCGCGTCCTTTTCAAATTTTCGTCGCTGTTGTGTTACGCGTCTTCACTGATCGCCGATATTTTATCGATTTTTTTCAATTCATACGTTTTAATATGGATCAAGAAACGACAAGTTTGCTCGAACAAATCGCTAGAGTGGTCAAAGAATGCGAGCAGATATTGGAAGGTATTAATTTTGTTGAGTATTGCTACAATTTAATAGTATTTTAACCGAACGTACTCTATTAAATTCGTTACGAACTAAACTCAAAATTCTGCTACTAGTAAACGAATAGTAAATATCGCACGCTTAAGACTGACTTATAATTAGCTTAATCGTATTTTAGTATGTTGTTATTTGCCTTTCTATACTCAGATGCTGTTACATGTAAACGTTTATAATTTATCAGATATTTGTGCTGTGTGACCTGGGGTCTGGTATCTAGATTCCTCTCCCCCACACATATTGCAATTGAAAAGTGGTACACCCTGGTAAATATTTCAATTTTTTATAGGAACTGGCATTGTAGAAGATGAAGAAAGATATAGATATACTCTATTTTACTGGAAATGGAAATGAAAACAAGCCTTTGAAAGTAAGACTATTTTTAAGATGCATGTTTTTTACCATTGTAATGTTAACTAAAACATTAATTATTTTTTATTGCCTTGATTTTAATGCATTATAAAGAAATACTTTTTCTCTTGTTGCATGGTATTTGATAAACTATATGATTATGGCCTACATTTCAATAAACCTATATGTTGCCAGATTTTTACCAGTTAGATTGTTGTTAGATATGTTGCAAGTTTTGAAATTATATACATTAAAATTCTATTTGTCACAATTAAATCACAATAATATCAATAGCATAACCATCTCCCAAACATCCAGAAGGCTTGTCGTAACATGATACATCTCCTAAAGAAGATTTCTATGATATTTCCTGACAAAAGTGGACAAAATTTAGGATAATTAGTTAGTCCATGAATTAACTGCATGTAAATCTATACAGAGGTATTAATAATGTGAGCTTAAATTGTTGATATGAGCATTCATTTTGTTTGTACTCTATATATAGGTTGACAGTGAAGATCTAAAGTATTTTGGGGAAAATGAGTTCGAAATCTTCCAATCATCCTGATTGACCAGGAAGGTATTTACATTGTTATTGAAAAACATATTTTGATGTGGGCAGCAGTTGAAAAGATAGCTGATGCAGTTGTTGCCTTCCTGGCTTCATTCTATTTGTTGGACATTGACTATCCAAAACATCATGAAATAGAATTGCCAGTCCTGCAAGTTATAATTCTAAAAGACACTCAAGTGCCACAGGACATCAGTTTAGCTTGTATAAGCATGTTAAGGTCATATAAAGAAGTAGGTTGAACTTTTGTTAAGTAAAATATCCATGTATATTATTACTCATATTATAAAAGCATATATTACTAGGATTTTCAGCTATTTTTAATAGTCAAAATTGTCTCATTTGAAGTTATTTATTCTCAAAACAAGGATGTTTTTCTTGAAATAAAATTTTTTTCTTATATGTAAAAAATATTTTCTCATTTTTTAGGTGTAATTTTATCTAACTTAGACATTATAATTTCTTATGAAAGATGTTTTCTTAAAACAAGAAAATAGGTTTTAAGAAAAATTTTCTCATTCTGAAAAAAATTCTTGCTCAGAAAATATTTCTTGCTATTCTCCCACTTTCTTATAACAAGAATATTTTTCTTAATATAAGTAAATATTTCTCAAATTAAGTTAATTTTTCTTAAAAAATAGTTACTATATTTCTTGTTTTAAGATTATTTTTCTCCAAAATTTCTTGTTTTAAGAAAACATTTTTCTTAAAAAAAGAAAATATTTTCTTGATATGTTTTCTTAGCGAGAAATTATTTCTTGCTATTCTCCCATGAAAATTTTTCTCATTTCAAGATAAAAAATCTTGAAATGAGTTTTTTTCTCAAAATAAGAAAGCGACTTTTTGCTGTGTAAAACGCTATATATATGTTGATGATATGATGAAATCAGTGAAACAACCAGATGAAGCTGTGGCTTTAGTACAAGAAAGTCGTGAACTACTAGCAAAGGGGGGATTTCGACTCACGAAGTGGTATAGTAACAATAGAAAGGTACTAGCTTCCATTCCGGAGAGTGAGAGAGCGAAATCAGTGGCCGATCTCGATGTAGAGAAACTTCCGATTGAAAGTGCACTTGGGTTGAAGTGGAACACAGAGGATGATACTTTCATTTGGGACGTTACTGAAAAATTGCCTCGCTTCTTTAACACAGAACCAGTGACGCGAAGAGCTCTGGTATCGGCTGTATACTCGTTGTTCGATCCGCTAGGATTCATAGCACCATACGTCATGAAAGCTAAGTTATTGTTACAAATGCTATGTAGGAAAGGAATCGGATGGGACGATCCCCTCGGAGAAGATGAATGTGCCCAGTGGAAACGGTGGTTGGAAGATCTTTCAAAGTTGTGTGAAATACGCGTGAAACGGTGTTTCAAACCTGATGAACTCGGCGATATTGTGGAGATACAACTACACCTTTTTTCCGACGCATCGAGAGTTGGATATTCGGCAGTCGCATTTCTTCGTCTTACTGACAATAAAAATCAAATATACTGCGCGTTCGTTATGGGGAAAGCTCGATTGGCACCTAACCGTGAAATTTCTATCCCTCGGCTGGAACTGACAGCTGCCGTTATATCAGTGAAATTATCAAAGATAATACGAGACGAGTTAGATTTGGAAATCGGAAGAATTTTCTATTGGACAGACTCTACATCTGTTCTAAAATGTATCAACAATGAGACCAAGAGATTTTATACGTTTGAGTCGAACCGTCTAACCATCATTCACAATGGTTCGGAAGTTAATGAATGGAAATACGTTAATCGGGAAGATAACCCAGCAGACGATGGATCAAAAGGACTTAAACTGGACAATTTATTAAAGAACAATCGTTGGTTGCAAGGACCTGAATTTTTGTGGAAAAACGAAGACTATTAGCCGAAGAGGGAAGAGATACCGATCATGAAGGAAGACGATCCTGAAATCAGAAAAGAAGCCCGTATTTACACTGCAGCAACTAGTGTTCATCCCGTGGAAAGATTGATCTCATATTTCTCTAGTTGGTGGAAGTTGAAGCGTGCGGTAGCGTGGTTGTTGCGGTTTAAAGAACAACTTCGGATGAAGTTACAGCTACGAAAGATTGCAACAGAAGATATTGAAGCACACTGGAACAAGGAAGAATTGTTGTCAACGCAATTGACCTTGAATGAGCTACATGCAGCGGAGGAAGAAATACTACAACGAGTACAGAGAGCAGCGTTTCCTGATGAGCTGAAAACGGTTCAAGTCCAAGACAATCAAAATTCGAAGAAATCACTAAAGAAAAAAGGATCAGCTCTTCGTCAGTTAAATCCATTCATAGGTTATATTTTCATGTTACGAGGGTTCGAAATATACATTACATATATTAGAATAATTTATGAATTATATAGTGTGTATAGACACTGTATATACACACATACTATATACATATATATTATATGGTTCTATGGTTATATGGTTATATGGATAGTGGTTATTAGTTATATGGTTAGTGGTTATGTGGTTATATGGTTATGTGGTTATATGGTTAGTGGTTATATGGTTATATGGTTATATGGTTATGTGGTTATCTGGTTACATGGTTATGTTGTTATGTGGTTAGTGGTTATATAGTTAGGTGGTTATATGGTTATGTGGTTATATGGTTATGTGGTTATATGGTTATATGGTTATATGGTTATATGGTTATGTAGTTATATGGTTATATGGTTATATGGTTATGTGGTTATATGGTTATATGGTTATGTGGTTCTATGGTTATATGGTTATATGGTTATATGGTTATGTGGTTATATTGTTATGTGGTTATATGGTTATATGGTTATATGGTTATGTGGTTATATGGTTATGTGGTTATATAGTTATATGGTTATGTGGTTATATGGTTATATGGTTATATGGTTATATGGTTATGTGGTTATATGGTTATGTGGTTATATGGTTATATGGTTATTTGGTTAGTGGTTATATGGTTATATGGTTATGTGGCAATGTGGTTATATGGTTATGTGGTTATATGGTTATATGGTTATATGGTTATATGGTTATGTGGTTATATGGTTATATGGTTATATGGTTATATGGTTATATGGTTATATGGTTATGTGGTTATATCGTTATGTGGTTATATGGTTATATGGTTATGTGGTTATATGGTTATATGGTTATATGGTTATGTGGTTATATGGTTATGTGGTTATATGGTTATATGGTTATATGGTTATATGGTTATATGGTTATATGGTTATATGGTTATATGGTTATGTGGTTAGTGGTTATATGGTTATATGGTTATGTGGTTATATGGTTATGTGGTTATATGGTTATGTGGTTTTGTGGTTATATGGTTATGTGGTTATATGGTTATATGGTTATGTGGCTATGTGGTTAGTGGTTATATGATTATGTGGTTATGTGGTTATGTGGTTATATGGTTATGGGGTTATGTTGTTATATGGTTATATGGTTATATGGTTATGTATTTAGTGGTTATATGGTTATGTGGTTATATGGTTATATGGTTATATGGTTATATGGTTATATGGTTATATGGTTATATGGTTATATGGTTATATGGTTATGTGGTTATATGGTTATGTGGTTATGTGGTTATTTGGTTATGTGGTTATGTGGTTATATGGTTAGTGGTTATATGGTTATTGGTTATATGGTTAGTGGTTACATGGTTATGTGGTTATGTGGTTAGTGGTTATATGGTTATGTGGTTATGTGGTTAGTTGTTATATGGTTATATGGTTAGTGGTTATATGGTTATGTGGTTATGTGGTTAGTGGTTATATGGTTATGTGGTTATGTGGTTATGTGGTTATGTGTTTATATTGTTATATGGTTATATGGTTATATGGTTATATGGTTATATGGTTTTATGGTTTTATGGTTATGTGGTTATGTAGTTATATGGTTATGTGGTTATATGGTTATATGGTTATATGGTTATATGGTTATATGGTAATGTGGTTAGTGGTTATATGGTTATGTGGTTATTTGGTTATATATTTATATGGTTATGTGGTTATATGGTTTTGTGGTTATATGGTTATGTGGTTATATGGTTATATCGTTTTATGGTTATGTGGTTAGTGGTTATATGGTTATGTCGTTATATGGTTATATGGTTATATAGTTATGTGGTTAGTGGTTATATGGTTAGGTGGTTATATATTTATGTGGTTATGTGGTTATGTGGTTATGTTGTTATGTGGTTAGTTGTTATATGGTTATGAGGTTATGTGGTTATAAGGTTATGTGGTTATTGGTTATATGGTTATGTGGTTATATTGTTATATGGTTATGTGGTTATGTGGTTATGTGGTTATATGGTTAGTGGTTATATGGTTATTGGTTAGATGGTTAGTGGTTACATGGTTATGTGTTATGTGGTTAGTGGTTATATGGTCATGTGGTTATGTGGTTAGTGGTTATATGGTTATATGGTTAGATATGGCTATATGGTTATGTGGCTATGTGGGTTATGGTGGTTAGTGGTTATGTGGTTATGTGGTTATGTGGTTATGGGTTATATGGTTATGTATTTAGTGGTTATATGGTTATGTGGTTATATGGTTATATGGTTATATGGTTATATGGTTATATGGTTATATGGTTATGTGGTTATATGGTTATGTGGTTATGTGGTTATTTGGTTATGTGGTTATGTGGTTATATGGTTAGTGGTTATATGGTTATTGGTTATATGGTTAGTGGTTACATGGTTATGTGGTTATGTGGTTATGTGGTTAGTGGTTATATGGTTATGTGGTTATGTGGTTAGTTGTTATATGGTTATATGGTTAATGGTTATATGGTTATGTGGTTATGTGGTTAGTGGTTATATGGTTATGTGGTTATGTGGTTATGTGGTTATGTGTTTATATTGTTATATGGTTATACTATGGTTATATGGTTATATGGTTATATGGTTATATGGTTATGTGGTTATGTGGTTATGTGGTTATGTGGTTATGTTGTTATATGGTTATATGGTTATATGGTTATGTATTTAGTGGTTATATGGTTATGTGGTTATATGGTTATATGGTTATATGGTTATATGGTTATATGGTTATATGGTTATATGGTTATGTGGTTATATGGTTATGTGGTTATGTGGTTATTTGGTTATGTGGTTATGTGGTTATATGGTTAGTGGTTATATGGTTATTGGTTATATGGTTAGTGGTTACATGGTTATGTGGTTATGTGGTTATGTGGTTAGTGGTTATATGGTTATGTGGTTATGTGGTTAGTTGTTATATGGTTATATGGTTAGTGGTTATATGGTTATGTGGTTATGTGGTTAGTGGTTATATGGTTATGTGGTTATGTGGTTATGTGGTTATGTGTTTATATTGTTATATGGTTATACTATGGTTATATGGTTATATGGTTATATGGTTATATGGTTATGTGGTTATGTGGTTATATGGTTATGTGGTTATATGGTTATATGGTTATATGGTTATATGGTAATGTGGTTAGTGGTTATATGGTTATGTGGTTATTTGGTTATATATTTATATGGTTATGTGGTTATATGGTTATATGGTTATATGGTTATGTGGTTATATGGTTAGTGGTTATATGGTTATTGGTTATATGGTTAGTGGTTACATGGTTATGTGGTTACATAGTTATGTGGTTATATTGTTATGTGGTTATGTGGTTATGTGGTTATATGGTTATATGGTTATGTGGTTATACGGTTATGTGGTTATATGTTTATGTGGTTATATGGTTATGTAGTTAGTGGTTATATGGTTATATGGTTATGTGGTTATATGGTTTTATGGTTATGTGGTTATGTGGTTATGTGGTTATGTGTTTATATTGTTATATGGTTATACTATGGTTATATGGTTATATGGTTATATGTTTATATGGTTATGTGGTTATATGGTTATGTGGTTATGTTGTTATATGGTTATATGGTTATATGGTTATGTATTTAGTGGTTATATGGTTATGTGGTTATATGGTTATATGGTTATATGGTTATATGGTTATATGGTTATGTGGTTATATGGTTATGTGGTTATTTGGTTATGTGGTTATGTGGTTATATGGTTAGTGGTTATATGGTTATTGGTTACATGGTTAGTGGTTACATGGTTATGTGGTTATGTGGTTATGTGGTTAGTGGTTATATGGTTATGTGGTTATGTGGTTAGTTGTTATATGGTTATATGGTTAGTGGTTATATGGTTATGTGGTTATGTGGTTAGTGGTTATATGGTTATGTGGTTATGTGGTTATGTGGTTATGTGTTTATATTGTTATATGGTTATACTATGGTTATATGGTTATATGGTTATATGGTTATATGGTTATATGGTTATTTTGTTATGTGGTTATATGGTTATGTGGTTATATGGTTATATGGTTATATGGTTATATGGTAATGTGGTTAGTGGTTATATGGTTATGTGGTTTTTTGGTTATATATTTATATGGTTATGTGGTTATATGGTTATATGGTTATATGGTTATGTGGTTATATGGTTAGTGGTTATATGGTTATTGGTTATATGGTTAGTGGTTACATGGTTATGTGGTTACATAGTTATGTGGTTATATTGTTATGTGGTTATGTGGTTATGTGGTTATATGGTTATATGGTTATGTGGTTATACGGTTATGTGGTTATATGTTTATGTGGTTATATGGTTATGTAGTTAGTGGTTATATGGTTATATGGTTATGTGGTTATATGGTTTTATGGTTATGTGGTTATATGGTTAGTGGTTATGTGGTTTTGTTGTTATATGGTTATATGGTTATGTGGTTATATGGTTATATGGTTATATGATTATGTGGTTATACGGTTATGTGGTTATATGGTTAGTGGTTAATGGTTAGTGGTTATATGGTTTTTTGGT